ACAACTCAACCTCGTGTTGCAACTCCTGTAAGTGCAGTTCATGTTGTGTTCTGCTAACATTCATGTGCGTGCACTGATTCCAAAGTGATAGGCGTTTATCTGCTGCTTTAACAGCCTTCACTCTTCTAGGAAAGCTTTCCAATCGATTTCAAGCTGTAGATTTTCTTTGGTTGAGGCCATGGCTTCAACCACCATAACTCGTCCAAGCTGGCATCATCTGGTGTCATAGCAAAGAGGTCAAATCATAAGCTTCACCAGTGTAGCACACATTCTGAACGAGCATTATAACTACAGCGGTTTCCAACCAGAGAGAACCTTCAAAGCAGTCACAAAAATAAAGGTTCCTGAGATGATTAATAGGATAGCAAAGAATCAAAACACTTCCTGCTACAAGCATGGCATCGCGCTGTCATTTCTTTTATTACAACCGCCCCCTGTGTTACACTGATAATGTGATATTTATTTCCACTGGAGCATAAGAAGCTCAGAGGTCACAGCCATATCTAATCCATATTATCCCCTCCTAAAGCCTGAAGCCGCCATGTTGGGTCAAAAAGGAGCTCACAGGGAGTCTCGCTGTACAGACCACGACTCCATCGCCTCATTTTCGGATACGAACCGGAGATCTGAAGTGATTTCTCTCCAGCTGGGCGGTGCACTGACTCATCAGGCAGCCCTCTGGGGCCTGAAGCAGATATTTCCTTATCTCTGATGAACTAACAAACAGTCATTAATGGTAAATTATGATACATCTCAAAGGGGTTTAAAGCCTGCTAACTTCAAAGAGAGGGTCCTTCGCAGCGAGAAGCTTTGATGTAATGTGTGCACAAAATAGGAAGTCTGTCACAGCACCACGAACCGAGAGGCAGTGCGTTACGCAACACCGGGTATATCTTCACATCTGTGCAGGAAGCTTAATAGAATAGATAACATCGTGGTTTAAAACGCTTTAGTTACAGGTCACAGTGTAGCTAGCGTTTAATTGGACCGTCTATCTTTTAATGCTCTCATCAGTCTGAGTTGCAAAAAGATTCTTTGTTCTATTTTTCGACATCTTACAGGTAAGAGGCTGCAGGCAAAGAAACCCGGCTCCAACAGGTGGCTCTGAAGCACACTTTACTGCCCACGCTGCTTTAAAAAGGTTCAGAGTGCAAGTTAAATGTGAGCGGAATGCAAGCTATATCTATCTCCAGCTTCACACCGCGGGCTGACCTCCTCCCACTCTGCCCGTCTGAGCGGAGACTCGCTGAACCTGGTCTTGGCAAGGGCTTAAATATTTGATCTGTGAGTCAGGGCGTGAGCTGATCGATATCTATGTAGTACAGCACAGTCTGTTTATCACTTCTCCTCCTCTCTATTTCACTGAGCGAGCCTGCCGCTCCTCCAAGCAGTCGATAAATCTTCGAATTTGCCTGCTCATTAATATGGAGGGGCCACCTCTGTAATAAAGAACGCTGGCGAAGTTTGCGCCCCTCGTCGCCTTCCAGTGAGCTCTGAAAGGCCTCATCATTAAATCAGCTGCAGTGACCAGACCTTCCTGATCTGTGTGGTTAGTAAGGTGGATGATGCTTTATCGTTTTATTCACACGCTAATCCTTAAATGATAAACCAATGAGCCAAAACCAGCAAAGACCTGATCCAAATATCACAGATAAAAGGTATTGATCTTCCTTAAATCGCTGTCCACTGACGATGAAAACACATACAGACGTACCCTTTGTCTGAAAAGTCTGAGTTTTAGTTCCTGTCTCTTTAAGAAATGTACAGTCTGCTCTGATTGGTCGGCTGTCAAGGCGAAGGTGGTTGTGTACCCTAACCACAGGTCTATATAGGGAGTATAGGGACGTACACCTGACTATAGATAGACTCTGGACTTCAAACAGGTAAGAGGTAGTGTTTTCTGTGGGAGACAATAACTCCCTTTGGCGTGAACTTTGGATTTTGTACGTTTGCAGACCTTTTACGTGCATAAAAAGCAGCTATACTAAATGAAAACCCTCCAAAGGCATCGTATGGGTTCTTTAATTTCCTGTCTATATCATATACGTCCTGCTGCTGTACATTAGAGAACAGTACTGAACACTGGCTTTAAAACCGATTGTGCTGCTGTTTGTAGGAATTTGTCGAACTTAGTCTGAAAATTATGAACTATTTTAAACATTTACTTTACATTTTGTATTTCTTAGTAGCATTGAGAAATTGTGCTTGGGCCTAATAGCCCCAGACAGACACCATAATAGACTGTACTATATATATAGGTGGTTCAGGTGGTAAAGCAGGTTGTCCACTACTTGTAAGGTTGCTGGTTCGATCCCCTGCCCCTTCACAGTCGAAGTGGGCAAGACACTGAACCCAAAAAGTTGCCCCCAATGGCAGGCAGCACCTTGCATGGCAGCTCTGTCGCCATTGGTGTATAAATGTGATCTACTCTCAAAAATGTACGTCGCTTTGGCTAAAAGCTTGTGCTAAATGAAATTGTAAATTTTATACTTTTCATGGGATTTGTAGACAATGAAACAAGATTAAAGCCTTGATCACTATCCAGTACAGATGTATACATACCGCTGTTGTGGTGTGAGTTTGCAGACATGTTGCACAGAGGAACAGTAGAAATACGACGGCAACCTCCTCACAGCAAGTCAAGTCCTTTGGTTTGTTGTTGTTGTTAGCTATGGAACAAAAAAATACAAAATCATAAAAATACTTTCTTTTAAAAAAACAACTTTTTCTGACTACCTGATGAGAAAACAGCCAAGACTTTACAACAAGGCTGACAAATTGGATGGATGGATGGATGGATGGATGGATGGATGGATGGATGGATGGATGGATGGATGGATGGATGGATGGATGGATGGATGGATGGATGGATCTCATAGCTCACAGATACAGATAACAAATAACAAACAAAAGACAACAGCAGCAACCAAGCAATAAAAGCTATAACGATGGTCATAATGATGATAAACTATTATGCAGTGTTATGCAGCGCATCTTATCCAGCGTTTAAACTGTCGTGTCAGTGGTCTAACGAATTCATGTCATCCTCCTTGTGTGACAGTCACGCTTTTGATGGCGTCTCGTGGTAATGCTCCATCACATGATTTTCATCTATTACACGGTGAAAACTGAACTGAAGCAGCTCTTAAAAAAGATGGTAACGCAAATCGAATTGCGTAATCTGTCCGAAAAATTGCATTTACATATTTTCCTCCCAAATTGTTCGGCACAGGACACTAAAGAAGCTTCTAGGAGGCCAAGAAAATGTTTGAAATGCTACCGAGTGTCATTTCTTTTCACACTGTATAAATGCAGCTGTGTTGTATTGTAGCTACGAGGTGTGTCAGGAAAGTTCCAGGACTGGTGTCACCAAAGATAGATTTCAAACCCCTTCAGACGATTGACCAGCACGTCTACAAAGAGATCCTGCATGAGAAGAGGCCAGAGTTGTGGCTGCTTCACCATGACAACGCGCCTGCTCACAATGCCCTGAGCAGTTCCTGGCTGAGAAGAACATCTCCGTGCTGGAGCAACCTCCCTACTCACCCCACCTGGCTCCGTGGGGTTGTTTCCTCTTCCCCAAGCTCAAGGGGGTCATCAAGGGGACCCGTTTAGAAGACGTGGACGACGTCAAGATGGCTGTGACGACGGAGGTGAGGAGGATCCAGGAAGAATCCTTCCAGGAGTGCATGGCGGCGTGGCAGTTTGTAGTTTGGATTTGAAATATACCTTTTGTGATACCAGTCCTGAAAGTTTTCTGACACACCTCGTATCTTTAGGACATTCATGGCGTATTATGTCTTGCACTTGTGATACATGACGTCTAATTTATCTCAATGATAGATGCATCTGTCAGACCCAGCTGGAAGATTTGCATTTAATTTAGTTTTATTTATATAGCAGCAATTCCCAATAAAAAGTCATGTTGGGGCACTTTCACAGGAAGGTCACGACCTGACAATATGTTATAGAAAACCCACTGATTCCCTTTGAGCAAGCATTTGGCAACAATGGGGGGAAAAAAAACCTCCGGCAGAACCGGGCTCAGGCTGAGTGGATATCTGCCTCAACTGGTTGGGGTTAGGGGGCAGCGGGGAGATAAACCTGCTTGCTTGTCATTGTATTTCCTCCTTATGCTTCCATAAAATGTCTACCTGAGGCCACCCAATAGCCGAATTAGGTGCAAACGCAGCAGTGAATCCCTGTTTTGATTCCCAGCCGGTCACAACCCCACTGAATGTCATGTCATAAAGGCAAACGCCAAGAAAAATTATCTGTAAAGAAAAATGTTTACTTAACTTTCAGTTTTATTCATAACATGGATGAGGCAGAGACGTAAGGCTCCGAGCCACGGCGGTGAGAGTTTTTCTTTCGCTCTTTACTTTTACCCTTTTACTGTCCACTTCGGTCTGCCTTAAACCAACTGAACTTTCACCTCACGTCAAAACAATCTTGCCGCACCAACACTGTCTTATGTCACTTCAGTGGAACGGTCTCACTTGATCCGCACTGCCTGAAGTGAGCGTGCAAAGAACATTCCCCAGTTAACTTTCTGGCCAATAATCAGTGGTCTGTGAAATGAAGGGTTTGAGGGCCTGAGAGCTTGACCTCTCTCGAATGTACAAAAAAATAAATAAAAAATCAGCCCAAACACAAGTGACCCAGTTCACCGGAGAAAGCCGGGAGTGGGCCGGAGCAGGTTCAGAGAGCCTACATTAACAGTACGGCTACAGCGTCAGCATGCACACAACGCGCTGTGTCACTGAACTATTTCTTTCGGCGTCCCTGCACTGTGCCCAGCTGTATCGCCACACTTTAATCTGTCGGTCACGTCTCCTAAAAATATCCCCCCTCTCTCCTCTCTCTCTCCTCTCTCTCCGTCTGGCTCTCTCAGCAGTCCTATTTTCACACAGAAGAAGTCCTTGTCTTTGGGGACCATGACAGCAAAGGGGTGTTACCACAGAATGATATTAAAAAGCGGGTGTAACCAGAGGCCATATGTACAGTGTTCTCGGATCAAGTTCTCTCTGGTGTCGGTGGAAGAAATAACAGCAGCTGTGGTCGTTTCAGTTCACAGCAACCTGCCTTCTTTTGGGGGGATTTATTCAAGTTTCAAGGCATTTTGCTGTTTAGAGCGAACTAACAAGAAGACTATGTGAGGGGTAAGTAGTGATAAGATGTGTGTTGCAACCGGTGTGAATCCTCACATGATAGCAACACTTTGTACAGTCGGATCAGATAGTCTGCTGCTTTATTTACGTTTTTCTGTTATAGCTGCAGCAGGAAAGTGATCAGAGTTGGGACTGAGTACAAATCCTCTATTGAACTAAAGTGCCTGAGGTGCCGTGAGCATTCCAAAGCATCTAAAACACAGAAGTTTTATCATCTGTGTAGAATTGTAGCTCTCTAACAGGGCTTCAGTTTGCTTTCAAACTTTTCTCTTTCCACGACTTGACTTTTGTTCTTCTTCTCTCTTGTCACCAGGAGAGGCGTCGACAGCAGGAAGAAGAGGAGAAGCTGAGGAGGGAGAGCGTGGAGGAGGGGAGGAAGACAGCCCACAAACAGGTCTGGATCTATCTCACCTACAGGTCGGACAGGGCAGGATAATAATGCTAGTGTCTTGTCCTCATCCTACTGTCTACCCCAGGTTTTGCTGAAAAGAACTTTGTAAAGGAAACATCAGCTTTATAGAAAAGACTAACATTTCCTCCAGGTCTATGTGAAGCCAATGCAGAAGTGGCTAAAACTTGCATTCTTTCAAACACCCAGCAGGGGGCGACTCTTGTCGTTGCAAAAAGAAATCAGAACGAACAGAAGGCGATGAGGAAACGACTCACATTCCTCATGAGTTTATGGTCACAATCCCGAGTTTTAAATCTCCTTCAATGCGTCTAGATATTAATTTAGCAAATTACGATCCAATTTAGAGCAGAAAAGACAATAAAATAGCATAGATGTGGCTACCTTGTGACTTACTGTTGAGAGTAATGTCCTCGAGTTCTCAGTCAAATCCACCATTTGCTCATTAGGTCAGGTTTTTAAAAGGCCAAGATAACAACGGCTAAAGTCTAAACTCGAGGCTTCAAAACTTTAGTTCATCACAAGTGCTACTAATATCTTTTAAATACAATATGACAAGAAATCATCTTACAGTCAACCTGAAAGTGTGATTTAAGTCTTTCAATGAGGGAAATATAAATGTACCAAAACATAGATTGCATATATAATGTATTATATATATTGATGATAGCATTTGACCTTTTATTTTCTGACATTTTGTAATAGATATCCCAAAAATATCATGAATTCTGTTGGTACCAAATACACTGCAACAGCAACAGAGTTGAAGCTAATTTACCTGTGATGTTTAACTGCATGTATCTGGATTTATTTTCGAAAAAAGCATCCATGTTAATGAAATGGCTTTGGGAAAAGTGCATCTATCTGTATGGATAGATACCATATTACAGTAGCAATAAACATGTTTCGCCCATTCAGCTGCACAGAGGTGAACTTTTATATAACTCATCCGGTTAAACAGTACTAAGGCTTAAAGTTATGCATAATTAAGGGCATGGCTGCTTTGAGTGACAGGTGGCTGAACAGCCCAGAGATGTTTGCCTCTGCTCCAATCCTGCTCGACTCTCATTTTTAGATTAGCTGAGAGTTAAAAGAAGTCAGGCTAGGACGGCAACGGCCACCACCACTGCTCTTCAGGAACTCTACTGGTGATGGTTTGTTCTTCTCTACATACGTTCTATGACAGCTACCTCTAGTGGTTCCTGAGAAAACTGTTGCTTTAGTTGTAATTTGGGTGAACTGACCCTTTAAAATAGCCACTGGATAAATAATGTACATCACTCCAAATATTCTGTGTTTTGTTTTTATACCTTTTAATCCCCTGAATTTCTGATTTCCTGAACACTGAAAATCCTGCTCATCTGTAATGATAGTTTATCTAACTTTATTACTACCTGAAGTAACAATTAAATAGCTCTGTAGCTTCGTATTTACCATAAAGATATGACAAAGACATCTATCTTCTCAGCTGACTCTCTGCATATTTCACAAAATGTGGACTTATTCCTTTATTAGTGACCCCTTCTTTGTAAATGCAGTAAAAACTGATGCAGGGATCCACAGATCTTCCCTTTTTCCAGCTGCTTCATGTTAAAAACTGACCCACCCTCATGTCATGTCATCCCTTGTGACTGCCAAGCTGAGCTGCTTGCTGGATGACGTCTAGCTCGGAAGTCCTGGGTGGGGTCACTTGGCCTTCATTGCGGTTCTGATTTGTTTTCGGCTCCATCTTATAATTGATGCGCAGAAATCGTAGAGATTTCCTGAATCAGAACCAGAGAGGAACTCAGTTTTGTTCTGCTCTGAAAACAACAAGCTGCAGGAGGGGCCGTGGTGAAGTCGAAAGAGGACATAATGTTAGTGCTGGATGGGGATTCTGCTCACTGAGCCTCCATGCATACCATTAACTACTTCACTGTTCCCTGCAGGATAGGCGCTTTTGAAAATAAACAACACATAAAAACCTACATTATCCATGCCGCCAGTAGCCCCGCGCTGCATCATTCACACTGTAACAGCCTCCCACACAAACAGTGTGCAACACATCTCCAACCACCCGCTGCCTCGGGCATGTGCACCGCTAGCGGCAGGGGCACAGCATCCCCGCTGCAGCTAAATGAGATTAGCCCGAAGACACAACAACGCCTCCCTTCATCTTTTTGGCAGCTACATGCGAGGCAGAAATTTGTCTGTTTTTCCTATTTTCAACCAAAGGAGCCCACCGTATTCTCCAGTTTAACTACATATTTGTTTTTTCCTGGACTCACCCACCATCGACACTTGGCACAGCGTCTCAACTCTGTCCGGGGACTTAAACCAATCTGTCCTACAAACACGGAAACGCTGGCAGATTCTGCTTTTAGATGTGTTGTTTATTCATAATTTAGTTTTGTAAAAATCTTTGTGTGATGTTAGAAAGATCAACGCTGCTCTCACGTTTGTACAGTTAGTTTGAAGTCAGACAGCCGGCGGCCAAAAGAGATCGAAACATACCCACCGACATCTCGAAAGTGTCAGAGTGAACGTTGTGGTTTTTTGGAGGTGGTTTGTGCTGAACCCGTAGGAGGTAATTAAAAGATGGATGTAGCCAACCTAACCTGCATGATTCAGAGCTGGTCAGGGGTATCTACCCATGAGTAGAAACTTTTTCTCTCTTTACCCTTGTGGTCGGAACACACTCAAAGGTTGAGGCTGCCCCAAAAGTTCCTGCAGTTTCTGCTCATTTTCCTCTAAACTGCACCATAATTTACAAAATGAACATCCTTCTGGAGTGAAACTGACTTAAAAGTAGCAACTGAGACCACAAACTTATTAGTAAAATGTTTATTGAGGTAACAAATCAAGTAGAAATTAGGCTCATTTTCTCAAAGTCTTCTCTGCAGTCGGACTTCTTGATGCAACTAGAGGCGTCGCCCCCTGCTGGCTGTTAGAAAGAATACAAGTCGTCCAGGTTGGCTTTACTTTCCAGAACCACAGGCTACGCCCGTCTTTCATCTACAATTTAATGCTGTACCATAACACGTCCACATTAAGCTAAACAAGCCAGCTGTTGTTTGTAGCTTGCTGTAGAGGCATGAAAATTGCATCAAGCTTCATATCTGGCTCGTGGCAAAAGAGCAGGAATTTTGCTAAATGTCAAACTACTAAAGCAACCGTCTGCAAATAGAGAGGAGCCACTCCGGTATTAAAGCTAGAAGAGCTAGTTTTTGGCTGAAAGTGTTTGAAAATAGGTGTTGTCAGGTTTCAGGCTATGGCTTGGCACGGGTGACAGATTGCATCGAGCAAGCTGTCTGGGTCTCAGGGCTGTGGCGCCGAGCTGTGACACCTTTTCACTGTCGCTCTCAGGCAACAGCGGCAGCCTGCTGGCCTTACTCATCCTCAGCCAGATCCAAAATGGCAGCAATTTAATCTATATTCCGCTGCCATGCAAACCAACACGTATGCGCCCAAAAAACACATCCGTTTCCAAAGCTGTGAATAATTGCCCCGAAGCGGGGCTACAGTGGTTTTGTCACAGATACACTTCGCTGTGAACCGTGATGAGGTCAGATAGAAGGCAGCCATGTGACAGCTGATGTAATGGATTATAGCCTAGGTCTAGGACGTGAACACACACAACTCACAATGTCTCCTTTTTCCTGGTCCACTGCTCTGAATCATTTATATCATGAGCTCTAATGTGCTTCTTTTTGTGTTGATGCATATGCTGTCTGTGGCCATGTGTGTATGTGTGCGTCAGGGAACAAACCAGAAGTCAAAAGACGCCAGAGGACGAGACAGAGGAGACAGCTGTCGCCAGAAAAGAGGTCTTTAAAGAAGGTAACACGTCCTCCATCAAACGTACAGCTGCACACACAGACAGGCAGATGTTTCTAGAGTACAGTAATAAAGACGACGTGCACACAAAGTCACCACAACCTTGAACATATAGACACTTCTGGATGAAGTTCAGATAGAAAGTCCTGTGCAATGCATGGTTTGTAATCATCCAAGCAGCACAAGCACGGACGCGAGTGCTTTGGATTGTGTACCATGACGGAAAAACATGGTTCTGTGGAGCCGCAGAGTGAATTAAATCCAATAAATTTAGGCCAACAATGATAACAACATGCTTGTTCTGACAATTACACGCTTACAGTCAACTTGTATTCATTACACTGACCTGCATATATCAGGTGTGTATTTTTTTTTCATACATAAAGTAAATGCATTATATTCCATGAACTCTAACCTCCACCAAATGCTTTACTTCGCAGCCCGCTTTTAGCTCCGTCTCCCGCTGGCTACCGACAGCGGGCCTGAAACGGTTGCTGGGCAAAATAATCTCAGCGTCCCTTAAGATGATGAGACTAAGCTTGGTTCAACACTTCTCTGATGATGTCTGTGAAATATTTATGGCAGGGCACGAACTGCAGACGGCTCGGGGAAGGAGGGGAGGCGCGAGTTTAAAGTTGCAGACTCAGTGTCTGCTTTAAGTGTCTGACCATGGAGAGCACTTTAAACTGTCTCTTTTTCTTAACCCACAGGCTGGAGAAGACAAGGACGTACAAGGTAAGGAAGCCGTCATTAGCTCACCATCAGCTTCTGTCTCCACTTTGTCACTCTCGTCACTATCCCTGCCTTGAATCTATTCTTTCTTGGCAGATGATAATTTACCATAACTAAGTCTTTGCCTGAAGAATAATAATTTAAATCAGCGTGACAGAATGGAGTCATGGATGAGGAGCAGCTCTGCTCCGACTGTAACCACATTACTTACATTCCTAATGCATGTGACTTCTGTCGGCTGTACAAGAGCACCATTATCGCACAGATTTATCCCAACTCGTCTTAGCTGCTGATCTCCACTTTGTGGCTGAAGCTACAGAGACGTTGGGATGGAAACAAGAGTAAGAAGGGTGTGAGGGTCTAACCAGACAGACAGCTTTGATATAAGACAGAAGGCATCTGATACATCACCAACTTAAGTGTGTCACAGATGGGTTGCTCAGTAAATAAAGAAAAAACACACTGGTGATTTTCTTGCCTCAATTTAAGGAAAAATAAGATTTCGAATTATCATTTCACCTGATGCTATTAACTCATTCATTCATTTCACATGAGATGACTGAGCTTGTTTTCTAGAGTTTAGCTCTAGAACAACAACAATAACACACAAATTAAACATCCAAACAACTCCTTTTTGATTTCCAGGAGATGCCCTTCTTGTTTTCTCACCAAGCAGCCCATAGCAGCTGTTTGTCTACAGAGACACCTAGTGGCTAATAGTTGTCAGAGCCGTTTGATGATTTCGTAAATGTAGCTCCAACTACGTGGTCAGTGAGGTAATTGGGTAACTCTGAATTTACTTTCAAATTGCATCCTTAATGCGGTTATGCATAAATTTCAAGTAACTACTTGAACTTCTTCAAACATAGACTCCCTTACCGCAACACAAGGACATTGTCTACTGCAGGAATATGTGGGCCATCGTCGGACAAACCAAACCGTTTTGCAAGTTCTAAATCATGAAACTACTTCAGATTTAATACAGATTTTGGCCAGGGTGGACAGACGGTTTGAGAAGAGGGGTGAAAAAAGCCATCTAACTGGAAAGACCATCCCTCAACAGAGGTGGAGGTCTGAGGCATCACCTGTTTACAATTCAGTCTTTAGAACTCTCCCCAGGAAGATGAAACCACATCCACACCTAGCCACAAAAGACCCTAACAAACCCTATTGTGGCAGGGGGAAGCACTAACGACTCACATAACGAGGGGGAGGAGCAGCAAACCTCCAATTTAAACCGAAACTCAGGTGTTAATGGCTCCTTAAAGATATCAGTATGTGGAACTCCCAACTAGTCAGTCAGAACTGATGAAGCCTCTTGGATGAGAGGTGGAACGTCTTCAAGGAACTCAAGCAAGTCCAGTTGCTACCATTAATCTACCAGAATAACCATGACCTGGATGACTGAGAATCTTCACAGACACGTACCTACTCCAGGTACTTCTGATTGGCCCTGAAAAACTTCTGAATGGGTGTTGATTGGTTTAACTTGGAGATGACAACCATTTTTGTTGGGTAGCAGTCTTCTCCTCTCTAACTTTGCCATCAGTAACCTGAATTCCAACATATGGGCTAACATAACAAACCTCCCATGTTCCTTCCATGCTATTTTTAGTAGATGCACTCAGAGTTAACGCTGTGGTGGATGCCGTCAGATCCTAGACGGCGATGGAAACAGAAAGCCTGAAAAGGTCGATCAGGGGGCAGCTCTTGTAAAAATTGCTGCCATTGCTATAATTAGCAAACCAGCCATCAACAGAACCCCAAGAGAGAGCTTTGCAGGACACCACTCCCCAATCTGTTCTCTGCTGTTGATCGAATATCACAAAAATCCTTTTATTCTCATGGTAACAGTTACTCTATACACCATGTTCAGCATTTCTGTTTTTTTCTTTAGTGAATAAAGAAACCGTGGACCATCGTCACAAATGGCACAAAGGACGTTTCATGAAAGTGGGCAAGATGGCCGATCAGGTGAAGTGGACTTTGTAAATAAATTTGTAGAGGTTCAGTATTTCGTGTTAAGTCGTACTGAAAAATTCTATCCCCTCAAGTACTCATGCTATCACCGAAACACGGATCAAAATGTTTACAGCTGATAATTCCACACATTTATGAAGAGAAATTTATGCAAAAGCCCTTCCTCGGTTATTTGTATTAGTCCGTCTGCTCATCTCCTGCAAACGATGCCCCCTTTTATTTAATGCTGCTCCGTCCAAGTTCAGCCCACAGGGTACAATTTAACGATGGGAATGCAGTGAATGGCCTGAGACCAATGTTATATTTAGCCCACTTGTTATTTCTGTTTGTTAATTTTTTATGCCCACTGGAGGGCTGTGTGGAGAAAAAACAACAAAAAACAAAAGAGCTGCTGCATTTTTCTCGTTGTGCCCCTATAATTTCTGTTGTGTCAGCTCATATTAGTTACATAAAGCTCTCCCTCTGACCTGGCATTAACCTTTGAATCTCTCACCTCTTAATTACCTCCAGGCCTGTGACACATTAAAGGGCAAGTTTCATTAGACCAAAATAAGAACCTGATCTGACCAGAACTGTGCAGAATTTAATTATACCTATCCATAATCTGGCCCTTAGAGATGTATCGCCTCTAGTGTTTTATTTTATTCAGCTTTCTTTGTCTCTTGTGTGGTTGCAGTTCTGGGAATGTTGGCGGTGCAGGTAGAGCGAGACCCCAAGACTGGCGCCACCGTCGTCAGGTCAGTGTCCCCCGTGTCTGCACCGGCTGGCGTCCCAAAGGCCACCACCGTCTTTGATGACGGCAGGAAGAGCATCCACGCCGTCGGCGGGTCAGTAGGTCAACCCTCGCCCGAAGAGCTCGGCCAGATCTTGAACGTCATCGATGGGGTCGGGATGAAAGTGCTGCTGGACGAGGTCACGGTCGTGCCGAACCCGGACGAGACGAAGACGGACACTGTAGACGTCAACAGTGATCTGGATGAAAAAGTCCCGTCTGTCGCTGACGTGTCAGAGGAGGACAACGAGCAGTCGGACAGCTCCACAAGCGACCACGAGGAAGCCGAGCTGAGAATAGAGAAGTGTGCCGTGGCTGTGGGGAACGCAGATGATGAAACCTTGATGGTGGTTCAAGTGGATGCGGAGGAAGTAGACAACATAGAAGATCAAAAGTTGGAGGACGGTCCGGTCACACTTATGTTCCTGGGATACGCCGACGCTACAAGCGGCCAAGAGGACCACGAAGGCGAGATCACCGTGGAACGAGTGCTCATCACGGAGGACGGAGAGGAGCACGTCTTAGAACCCGAACCGCCTGCTCCACTTCAGTCACCGTTAAACCAGGTAGAAGAGCAGGACGCCCGGAAAGAAGCATTTCAAGACATTCCCCTGGATGAAAACGGAGCTGGAGTTAAAGTCCAGGCAGAGGAAGGTGACACAACGCTGCACATCTCACCTTCACCTAGTAAAGCAGAGGGAGTCAACACGCCCAAACGCAAGACCTGTCAGTGTTGTTCTGTCATGTAAGAAATGATTAAAGACAGGCAACATTTGTTATATTTGTACACCGCAGTGCCTTTCATTAGTTGCTATATTGCTGAACACATCAGAGCATATCACTGCCACCTGCTGAGGTCTTACAATGGGGGATGAGCACCCACCAGCTACCACAGAAAGACACGTTTCTGTAGGTCTTTCACAGCGGCTGGAACCGACTCCAGCTCTGACAAGACTATGAAAATCCACTACCTCCCCCTAGTGGACAAGGATGAGGATTTCACCCTCCTGCAGGTTGCATCTCAAACGACTCCTCTGTCTCTCTGCCTGGAGACTACAAGCTGAGCAGTGGGAACGCTAAAAGGCAAATAGCAAAAAAACAAAACATGTCAGCTTTGATATTTAACTCTTACCTAATACTACTGAAGACTGCACTTACTACCGAACACACCAAAGATGTTTCAGAGAATGTCTACTGAGGAGGAGTCAGTATTCAATTGAACTTAATTTTTTTTACGTTGAGATTCTTAACCCTGGCTCAGATATGTTATACTATCAAAGTTCTTTAACTAATAGATTAATACCCTCATTTGTGTTCCTGTATTTGTTTTCTTGCTGATGACAACAAAGATATCAGGCTGGCCGATGCAGCTTAAAGAATTATCACACATTAAAGGTTTTATTTCTGTCGATGTTGACAGGTATTGATCATTTTTATTGGCTTGTTTTTAATAAAGGTGAGAAAAAAAAAGATATTTCGTTGAGCAATAAAGTGAAACAATGGAACATAAAACTGAAGTGACTTATTGCTATTGATAAAGTGTCTATCCCTGGTACACCTTATCGTTTCATGGCTCAGGTCTACGTCGACACCACTCAAACATGTGAGCAGTTTCCATGAAGCTACAGCCAGCAGCTGGCCAGGTTGGGCTTTGCTTGCTACATAAACCTCTTGTGACACCGCAGCATAAAATTTTCATCCCTCTGGTTTTTGTACTGATTAAATAAACAAGATGCTGCACGTACCAGCTGGTAGATGTTTTTTTGTTGTTAACCTCCTGACAGAGGCGGGCTAGCTGTTTCCTCCTGTTTGCACTTTTTGTGCTGAGTTAACTGTCTGCTGCATGAGTTTAATATTTCATACGCACACATGAAGGTGGCATCAATCCTACCATGTAATGCGTAGCAAGCAAGTGCACAACCTTTTGACTACTTTAGAAATCTACTGTACACAAAAATAACACTTGTGGGAAACTGTTTGAAAACACATTAAAAGGGCCTGTGTGTAGACGTTAGTGACATCTAGTGGCGAGGTTGGAGACTGCAACATGGTGAACATGCTCCAAGAATAGAGGCAAAGCTACTGCCGCTTAAACATACAAACAAGAAAGGTTCTCTCTAGAGCGAGATTTGTCCATTCTGGGCCACCGTACGGATGAGGAAGCACTTTAGATATAAAGGCCTCGTTCTAAGGAAAACACAAAGATTTGTAGTTACAGGTTTATGTACAGATTTTACATGAAATCTGATTTAAAATAGTAAGTTGGTTCAGATTTTATTTCTCATGGCTGGGTAAAAAAATGATTAATTACAGTGGGTGGTAACTGAAATACATAAAACAGATACAGAACAAAGTATAATTAGCATGTTAATTGAGTCTAATGCCTCCAAGATCTAAAGACACACAAAAAAAGGTACTTTCCACGTGTGAGAGACTTGGCATTCAACATTTTACCACATTCCACATCATCACTTTGCGATGACCACCCAACTCTTGGCGTGACTCGTTGTGGGTCATACAAAGTGCTTTTCAAAGGAGAGGATTTTGTTTGCTCACGTGACACAGAGGACAGGAGGGTACAGATGATAAGTAGATCAGCTGGATCATTCATATTTCCATCGAGGTTAGTGCTGTCACGCACGGATGATGACCGCCGCGCTACGATCAGGTGGGTCTATTCATTCAAAACTTCCAAATGATGCGTCAACTTTGGTGCTTTTCTATAAATGTTTTCTTTCTTACATATTAGGTGCCAAGTTTTAACAGCAGAGCTTTGTCTGATAGTAGCAGGGAAAAGGCCTTGGTACGGTTAAAGATCAAGTCATACTCATCAAAACATATCTTGTGTCTCAAATGATAGTCAGAGTGATGCAGTGTGTGTACAGTACTAGAGCTACAACCCTTAATTTCCACATTTTCAGGAGTGGAATCACAAAAAAAACCAAAGTAATGTCATGTATCTGTTTATTCTGAGTAAAGTTTAAGTCTGCAAGATTGTAGTATTTAAATAAGAACTTTTTCTAATAACAGGGAGTAAAATGCTCCTTGAAAGGAGGGTGGAATAAACAAGTTAAGCTCATTAAGGCGCATTTATATGTCCTGTTGCTTGAGCTTTATATACAGTGTGGAGCTGCTGCTGTTGATAATCCTTTACTGCAGTGAGGCTGGCATTAAGCCCCTGGATGCAGGTGTAAATATAGACTCATAGATTTAAACCTGCAGCTCAGGGACGCAGATTGTGCCACGACAATATTTCCATTAAGGAGAACGTATCTTGAAAAAACTATTTAGTGACATGGCACGGTGTGTTATGCAGCATAATGCATCAGTGTAAATATGCAATACAAGTCCAGCTAAAGTGGAATAGTTCTCACAGTGCTTATCACAGAGCTCTTGCAGAACGAGTCGCTGCAGCTCATGGATACGTATTACCGCGATGAGTTAAGGCTTTTATACGAGACAGAATGATGGAGAAACATAATTCTTAACTGGCAAGCCGCAAACTGGCGACGCGATGAGAGTCTCTGCGGCCGGCTGGGGTGGCAGATAATGTACACAGTGCGTGTACCAAAACAGACAGGGGAAAGCCGATTACTCTTTCCCTTTGTCAGCAGAACTGACTGCGCTAGGTCACAGTGGGAGAGAAAAGTCAACAAAACAACAGAGTGGCTGTACGCCCTGCTGAGGAAGGAATAAAAAGTGATGTAGCTCCTGTTTGGTTTGGTGCTTCTAAAACGTAGATCCTAATTGTTTTTATTGTGCTCACTGCAGACAGAGGGCTTCCAGACATGCCTCTTACTAGAAGTGAATTGTCAAACATCAAAGACAAGAGGAAGTTCTGCACACTTTATATCCTGATGACAGCTCTGTAGCAGTTGCAGGCGCCTGAGAGCTCAGAGTGTCGGCTGATTTGTGCAAATTTAACCAGGAATTTATTAGGAACAGGCTTAGACTGTGTATAAAAGATGGATGATGTCCCTGGGTCCAAAAAGTAAAGACAATGCATAAGTGACCAATACCTGCACTCTTTCCTATGACCAGCAGGGGGCGACTCCTCTGGTTGCAAATACAAGTCAGACTGTGTAGAAATCTATGAGAACATTCCCTTAATTCTCACTTAATTTACTCTGTCAGCAAATGTTTTCCTAATAGGTTAATGGTCTCAGTCATTAGTTTCAAGCCTCCTTTCACATGGCAAGATGTTCATTTTGTAAATTATGGCCTCAATTACAGTAAAATGGATAATAAAGAAAGGTATGCTTGGCTACATTATGATTGATGGGTTCCTGCCACATGGATGTGCTTAGTGAGATTGAGTTCCCAATTAGAGCCACCGCTCCCTTGTCATACATCCATCCATTATCTGGTGGTGGTGGTGGTGGTGGTGGAGGGCTCACCCTGGACAGATCGCCAGTCTATTGCAAGGCTACACAGAACGATAGACTCCCTTACTGTGGTAATAAAAGACGACAATGGTGGTGATGACCAAATACCAAAATCAATGCTTCTAAACTGTAGCCCACAAATCAATGGGTCACGTCATCAGGGCTATGTCCAGCTTTTGTCGCCACAAGTCTACGGGAACATGCACTATTAAAACACAACAGATACAATAAGGACCTTAAATACGCCCTATGAGGCTTTCATATCTAACAACATTTCTGTTTTCTTACCAAAACACACTACATGTGTGCTTGGAACCAAAAAGATATGATGAATGCATTTGCTTCCTCCTAATTATTTGTTTACATTCATGTCAACCTGCTTGCAGTTTCCTGTGTTTCTTGATATTTTACATCAGAGGAGTTTTGTGACAGGATTTCTGTCAAAAATGAAAAATTCTTCTACATGCAGCAAACCTGGGGCCAAGTACTACTAGCGTATGAAAAAGTGGTACATAATGTACAGAAAGTGGGATGAACACAGAGGTTATTAAAAGTTCATCAGCTTGCTTTTGCCCTGTTGATCCTGAACTAACAAAAGTGAAAAGTAAAATAAAAGAAGACTGTAATCTTTGTCTGCAAAGCTAGTCCTGGCAGCATTATTACCTTACGCCTTCAGTGCCATCACTCTACAGTTTAATAAAACAGTTCTTAGTAGATCCTAAGAATAAAACCCACAAGAATATTAATAAAGAATTTAAATATCAACCTTTGTAATACTTTCTCACATGTCTCTTATTTAAACTTAAAGGGAATTAAAGGGTAATACAGAAGAAACAAGTGCTTCAAAGGCCGGTCTCCATGGAAACAAGAGATTCCAGGCCCGGCTCTGAAACCAACCAGGAAGATGGTGGTCTGTGGATGAAGATGGACTCCAACCACGTGGCCAACCATACAGAGGGGTCACCAGTAGCCTCTGGTGAAAGGCCCCAAGAAGAAACCAAACCCGCTGCTGCTGCAGTGACCACGAGGTACTACAGCGTGATGGATGATGAAGGTGCAGATGATGTCTTCATCACGCCCCCTCCTCTTCCCCCTCCTCCTCCTCCATCCTGCATGGCCCCGGTGCCGCCAGCAGATGGAGGCACAGGTGCAACAGCCAATAATGCTGGTACGTCCATCTCAAATGCGGCAGCTGACGCCACAGAGGCTGAGGCTAATCCCAGCAGCTTAGACTTGTATCACGGTGAGAAGCACTTAATGGCAGCACAGAACAAGGCGGATGAAGTGACAGCAAGTGTACGGAAGGCTTGCAAGGAGTCTATGGACAACGTATTCCTGTCCAATGACAAGGACTCCACTACACCAACTTCACAAGACCAAACATCCATGGACGGCGCGGGTTGTCTGATGGAAACATGCCATGATGCAGCCGAAAGACACTATCAGGACAACGAAGCAGAAAATGAAGAATCTAATGAGGAGCCTGAGGATGTTGTGATTTTGAGTAAAGGACAGGAAAACTGGGGGGAAGACGGTGCAGTCAAAGACAAATATCCAAATCAAATATCTTCAAGCCATGAGGAAAACTCTGAAGATGAGACCTGCTCAGACAAAGACGGAGACGAAGAAGAAAACGAGGACATTAAGACAGACTCAAAACTGTCAAGGGAGAAGCTGGACAGTGAAAGTGATGAGTCAAATACCCCCACACTGCCTGAACCTGGACTGAATGATTATGATTTTGAATTCTCCGAGGCAGCAGAGTTCAACAAACGCAACCAAAGCAAGACGGACGCAGCAACCAATCAGCCTCAGGCAGCTCCCTTCCCGGCAGACCGGGCCGATGATGGTGAAGAGCATGTTGACAGCAGACCTTTGGACTATAACCTCACAAAGCACAACTGGGTGAGGAGAGAAAGTGGCACAGAAATTCAAACGCCCCGACTTTCCATCTCCAAAGATTCTGAAGAAATGGTGACAAGTGGAGAGCAGGAAGATGGAAGCAAGAGGATAGCCACGGACATCCAACAAGGAGAGCAACTGCTTCAGCGTCTGCAAATGGTGCAGCTGCGACATGATGTACACATGTCAGAGAATCCTCAGATGTCCCAGGAGGTCGCCAAAGAGATGAGAGGTGACGAGAAGGGTGCATGTGGGACTGAATTTGGAGAAAGAGGAAGGAAACTGACAGATCAAGAGAAGAAGGAAGAAAGTCAATTTCATACTGTTAAGGAAGGAAAGACGACCATAACGGAGAAGGAAAAGAATGAATGTACAACAAAAGCAAGGAAGTCTTCATCCAGTATGCCAGAAGAGTCGGAGCAACACAGGGTTGCCGGAACAGAGGCAGGTGACTCTG